GGGTAGGTTTCCAGGTGCTTATTTGAGTTCAACGACCATACCACTATGCGACGGTCCCGGCGCAAATATATCAGGTACAAATTTGAGTTTCCGTGTGTGTGAGAAGCCAGTGAGATCGGCTGTTTCAACGTTCCGTCTTCGTCGTTGAAAATGACATGACTGTCGTCAATCATCAAGTGACGTCGAGGAGGAAGGATGTAATTCTTTATTTGATTAAATAGTGAACCTATGAGCTGACTCTCACGGAAATCATCTTGATACACATAACCAATGGTTCATTAGCGTCGAGAATACTGTGGTTGATAGGTCACGGGAAATCGCAAACGTACCTTCGTTAGTATGTTCGATCGCTCCGAGAGCGTTGAAATGAGGCATCGGTTGATGCTTCAGATATATGATGGTCCCTTCTTTTGAACTAATCACTATGTTGTCATAATCCACGGCATGTACCATAAAGGGTGTCTTCCCTTGAAGCAACATCACTTTAAAACGTCTGTAAAAATTTGGTGGTAAATTTTTTGTGAAAAGTGTCCCAAGTGGTAAATCCAAACGATACAAGACACCACAAGATATTAATACTATACAACGCAAAACACGTGTTGCAGGATCTGTAAAAAAGGTGACGTGAGGGAGTATGGCAGCCGAAAATCTGAAGCGAACAGGTAAACTGGAGGCTCCAGGTTGATTAATGGTCGCTCCCTGAGAAGGAATCAGAAACCTTCTCAACTCTAACACACAGCCAGACTCTATGACCCTCCACGCAATATAGCACGCTTGATCGGTCTCCGAGTGATACACGGATCCCTGGGTTGCAAGCTCATCAACGACTGCCTCTGAATCAAAATCACCAAGAAAACTTTCGGCCGGTAACTTGTGTTCTACGGGATCACCGATTGAGGTGAAGCTCTCCAATGGTATTTCGGTATTCTTATATAAATAGCGCGCGCTCATGTTTTTATGATCGGTTCTCTGTCGGTATACGAAAAAAGATTTAAGTGAAAACGGTGTCCGCGCTTATTTTTGTGAATCATAGCGTTTTTTTTAGTTTACATACGATGATAATATCCAACTAAACGATAATGCTATTGCGTAACCAAAAGATCATTATTATTATTATATAAGCAGACATTGAGAATTCGAGGAAGCCTTGATAGTCTTTTCACTGGCCTTACTGGATTCACCTATGAAAAAAAATGGCGGACAAAAAACCCAAATTATCGGACAACCTGTTAGGACTCAAGGTATATTCTTCGGAGTGCTTTCAACCGTGATGCTTAGGTCAACTTTCATCATATTGGCATGTAATATATCTCGAAAATAGTTTATGCAACGTCAGAGGCTGGTTAAAGAAGGGAATGGGAGGGCTCATTCAATAGCAACAGACGACTCACAGTGGGTAGCTCTTTATGACGATGCGAAAATTGGAAAGCCGTGAGTTACTTTGTTAATTCTTTTCTGTTTGACGCGAACGGTTTTGGAACACGTATTTGATTCACGCAATTCCGACCGTCGATACAGTAAATTCAACGTAAGGTACATGCCGAGCTATTTATCTTTTGTAGACTCCGAAATCAAAGGAAGAATGACTTTTGGGTCGCGTATTACGAAAGATGAGGCAAACATTTTTTATATCATCTTTATCATCTTTTCTTCACATATGGGAGGTTCATCATAAATGCTGGTCATCACACTTTCACAGGAACTTTTGCATGCGCCGATAACAGGTGACTCTTCCGAAAACACACAGAGTGGTAAGTATAGAAATGAACAATTACAAGGAGTGTCTTTCAGGGGCGAGAGATCAAAAAGCAAACGCGAACGAACCAAAGGAAAAGATGAATCAGACAGCCCACAGAAACTTCCTAAAACCAGTAACACCATGTTTATGAAGCCACCAGAATGATCGTTCGGGATTACGATCAATGAAATTTTAATGCATCATCACTTTCTTTACAAATCATCTCCCCAACAATAATTGACGTTAATTCGCTCGATAAAAAGAGTGAATATATGACTCAAAAAAAAAAAAAAAAAAAAAAAAAAAGCGAGAGAGAATTAGAAATAACGCTACAATATATGGTGGATATATGTTTATGAATCGATGAACATGTCGAGTGTTTTCTGCGACGTTCTCGGCGAATACTGTAATATACTTGTTTGTGTCTTGCGGCGACAGCTGGTCACAAAGAAGAGACGCATGAAAAGTCGCTGGATCAGATCTTTTGCCTGTGTGAAAAGAAAAGAAATAATAAGATGCCGGAAGAGAAATGAATCATTGTCCTTTTAATAAAATCTCGCGGTCTGATTTTTTCTTACCTTTGTTCTATCCATGAAAGCCGCTCGCATGTCCACTATTTTTCCATGTAAATTTCTTAAATTTCTTATAATTATTTCCACTACATCCTGTTGCATATGGGACATAAGTAAATGAAGGCGAAGGACCGAAAGTTAAGAAAGAAGCAAGTCAATAGACATGAGAATACCTTCTCGGAAGACATCTGTATCGAGTCATCCAACGTATACCCTAAAATTATTACGTTATGGTACAGTTCCTTGTAATTTGTATCACCACGGATCTTAAAGATCGTCACTTCGTCACTAAATAAGTCCAAGAGCAGATCTAAATTTAGAGGTTTTGAGACGTCGATCTGTTTAAGTCCATTCGAATTAGCGATTGCATACTTTTATTATCATTATTATATTCATTTGGTTATTGAAATCACCTTGGCAAAACTAAAATTTGATGAGTCGACGGAGGAAAAGAGAGAGTAAAAGGACAGGAGCCGTCGAACCAATCTCCCTCGACTTGAGGCGGGTAGATTTTCCAATATGGCAACCTTAAATTGCGTATCGTTTCGACAAGTTGAAATTATGTCTTCGCAGACGAGTTTTACCTTAGCATCAAAGAAAAAAAAACCCCGGTATAGAGTGGATATGGTAAATAAAATTCATGACTGTGCGATAGATCATTATCCTTACCTGGGAATTCCAATCATCCTCGTGAATGCTCTGTAAAAGCGAATCAATCACTTTTTCCACTTCACCGGAAATCGACGTCAGACGGCTATCCAGAGACAATCGAAGAATGACAATTATTGCTCGTCTTATTTCTCCGAAATCCGAAAATGACAACCAACTTTTTCAAAAATGACAATTTTTTATTATTCACGTCAAAGTCATATTTACACAAGATGCATGCTTCGCTAATTACCTGTTTTCAATCAATGATGCAATTATTCTAAGCAATGATCGTAAATTACGAATATGTGAAAATTGGGATTGAACCTCTACAAATGGACAAATGGTATGAAGTCATATCGTCGCCACAATAATAAATATTTCGCGAAAATCATTCAGTTACATACCCGGTGACGGAGAAAATGTCTTTAGTTGATCCGTTGAACAACGAGAATCCAAGACCTGTCTTGAAGCCCCATACGATTTAAATATGTCATAAACTAGCGAAAAGGAAAGCTCAACTCGTGATTCAATGTCGACGTGGGTTTTGAAACGTCCCTGAATATATGTAAAACAAAAAAAAAAAAAGAAATTTGTTAGTCATAACATGTCACACACAGGATTTAAGGTCTCGAAAGTAAGCAACCGGTCCTCTACCTCCATTTTTTCGTCACTACCTCCCGACGGCCTGGGATATCGGGCGGTTGTTTACTTTCGAGACCTTACGACAACAATCAACATTTACGCTGATCTCCGTTAACCGCTTCAAATTCTGGGAAGCACCTTCCACTATGACCGCGTCTTGTTCAAAGGCCACTAAGTGGATATGAAAAACATGTTCACAATAGATTAAACAATTAAACAAAACAAATTGTATGATATTATACCTAACTGAAGGAGCCATGCGATAACCTGGGGTGATAGGTCTAACCCCATCTCATATTGTTGAGGAATCCAATGACTACACAAAATATCCCTTAGCCTTTCGTCGTCTGCACGGTACAATTCACTATTAACTATTGGTTTTCAATTTTGGTGCATCAAAATATTCTTTCTAGATATACTGCATACAAACCAGAAACGGCCAAGGATATTAGTAAAAACGCACTGTTCTTTGCCATCCGGGGTGTTCGCAAAGATGGTCTATGCGAATCCTGTGATGGGTATAAGAAGCGTTATTAAATGTCAAATAAAATCGGTGCGATGCGAAACAAAATCTTCAATTCACCAATTACCAATTTACTACTGTTTTCAAAGAATTCCACATAATGATCAGGGTCCATCATGTCGTCTTCTTCGAAGATCTAAATCGAATAAATAGGTAAGATCACATTGAAAACACGGAATTCCCTTAAATTCTTTGTGCTCACTTGCTGTAAATGCTCGAACTTTGTATTTTCTTCCCATATGGAGGCGGAGATTTCTGAGCGATTATAATCAAATGGATCTTCCATCACTTCATCTAACATCTGCATTCACAACAATTAATATTTTCAATCCTTTTTATTAAGGTAAGAATTTCTATAAATCCGAAACGCACATTATCTTGAATAGCCAACTCCAAAGCTTGAATATTATAACCGGATTTCTCTCTCTGTTTTTTTTCCCGGAGAAGGGAAGGTAATGAAAACTGATACGATCTTTTTGGTGATGACACGTCCCTCAGAGGAATATCACCGCGAAGTGGCACCGCCTCAACAGTCGGGATGTAGCCCTGTTGGTTTACAACGCGACGATGACGTGTGCTCCGACGTAAGGATGGTTCAATTTCTTGAGAGCTAATAGCCACGAGAAAACGATTAATTAATCTCATCGAGAAGGAATTAATTGGTCATTAATGAACAAGAAACCTTTGATCGTTCTCCAACACACTTG